AGTATAGCTCCCTGGACAACTCACCATAGGCTCTAACATGCCCACAAGTGTTCGAGTAGAGAGCTTTCAATAAGGTGATGTACTTACTAGGCACGCCTTTCAGTGACAGACATTGCCATAAGACTTCTCGATCAACGGAGTCAAATGCCGCCTTCAGGTCGAGAAATACAGCTATTGTCGGGCGTCTGTAAGCATGCCTATGTTCCAGGACCTGGCGCAGTGTGAATATTTGGTCGATACATCCACGGCCAGGTCTAAAGCCTGCCTGGTTTTCTCGGGCTTGCTGTTCCCGAGCTCCACTCAGGCGTCGGAGAATTATAGAACTTAGGATCTTAGACACTATGTTTGTCAGGCTGATTCCTCTGTGGTTATCACAAGAGGACTTCTCGCCTTTCTTGAAGACTGGGATGATGAGTGACTTAGACCAGTCGGAGGGGATCGTATTTGATTCCCATATACTGGCTAACACTTCCGTTAACCTGACTAAGAGCACTCTACCACCATTCTTGTATACCTCAGCAGGTAGTCCGTCTGGTCCTGCTGCCCTTCCCGTTTCAGGCTACCTACCGCTTTCTCAACTTCTAGTGTTGGGGGGCCTGTCTCTATGTCCCATTCAGGGTCCGACTGGATAGCGGGCAGCGCAATCGTGGCTGGAGGCCAGTTAAACTGTTCCTCGAAGTGTTCTGCCCATCGTTCCAGTCGCCTTCCCTGCGAGTGAATCGCAGATCCGTCCTTCTCCGCTATAGCCTCACTAACTGTTGTTGACCATTTCCCCCCAGTCTCCTTAATAAGTCTAAATAACTGTCTACTGTTACCGATCGCCGCTGCCTTTTCCATCTCTTTAGCCTTTGCTGCCCACCACTGTTCACGATCGTTGCGCAGACTTTTCGTCAGTCTATTTTTAAGTTGCGCTCGCTCTTCATTGTACTCAGAGCCTGCAGGGATGCATTCACGTGCATCCATTAGTTTGGAAGAAGCTGCTGATATCCACTGGCTCTTTTTAGCCATTATTTTGGAGTCGGCTACAGTCTCCAGTGCTGCTTTTACAGTAGACTGAAGATGGCACCAAGCTTCTTCTGGATGAGTGACAGTCTTTTGTTCCGATAACTGCCTAGCCAACTTCTCACTGAACACGGCTTTGGTGTTTTCGTTGTCCAGCAGAACTCGTAGTGGTTTTGTTGCCAAATTTTTTCTACGTCCATTGAGACGCAGGCATATACGTGCTCGGACCAACGCATGATCGCTGTCCAAACACGTACTCCAGAAGGAGCGGCAGTCTTCCACCGATCCTCTCCAGCGATGACTAATAGCAATGTGGTCTATCTGTGTCCATCGCTGAGTTGAGCTCGGTGGACGCCAGGTCAGACAGTGCCTTTCTTTATGTCTGAAATTGGTGCTGGCTAAAAATAGGCGGTTATCTGAGCATAGTTGTAATAGGCGATCACCGTTATCTGTACGTTCAGCTGGGATTCCGAAAGTGCCACCTAAGTGCCTTTCTGCCTCACTCAGTCTACCCACCTGTGCGTTGAGGTCACCTGCAACAACCACTACGTCCGAACGTTTGGCTTTCGAGAGGAGGTTAGACAGTTTATGGTAGAACTCGTCCTTCACTTCATCCGAGCTGCAGTCAGTGGGTGCGTAAGCAGAGATTACAAAGAGACAACGGCGAGTCTCACTATTCCTTTTAGTTCTCACTGTGCCGTTCAGCCTCATAGCGCAGAGGCGACTATCAACTGGGATCCAGTCTAGTAGTGAGTTTTCTGCCCTGGTGCTTAATGCTATACCTACACCTGCAAGACCACGAGAGCTAGCTATCGAATCTCCAGAAACTCGAAGGGTGAATTTTGCAGATTCACCAGATTGGTCAGGTGAATAACCACACTTGGGTCCTGTATGCGTGTCTCACAAACACAGCACACATCCATGCCCGAGTTGCTAGAGTCTTTGCTAACGAAGCCTGTTGGCCAATTTGACGGAGGGTGCGGACATTGAAGGCTCCAATATGTAATTTGGAGCGTGGTTTAAGGAGACCAGGGATGCTGTTCTGTGGACTCAGATCGTTGTCGAAGGCTGCAGAGGTAGGAGAAATTGAAGATGATGCAGCATCATTAATTAAGAGACGTGAAGGAAGATTAGAAGGTAATGATGGAGGAGGAGGATAGCAGTCAGAAGAAACTTGGGTGCTGACAGAGTTGTGAGGGCGGTTGACACTTCCCGGCTGCCCACACCGTGGAAGGCTATTTCTTCTTAAGGTACCTGAAAGAGATTTGTGTGACCGCAGAGCCCATCGGACATCTGCTTGAGGCCTGTCACACCCAGCCTTTTGAGTATGATTATTTTGAACTTTTGTATTTTTGGGGCCGGATGGTCGAAAGGAAACGACAAGTGAACCAACACCGCCGGCCCGGCAGACCGTGGGGCGTGGTGGAGTGTGTTATTTTTGGGGCCGACCTTTTCTAACCCCCCCTTCCACTGAGAAGGCAGCATCAGCATGGCACTGCTGGTCATCCAAGGGAAACACCTTACTGCTGTCACACCCCATCCAGCTAGCAGCAGTACGACTTCGCCCTCAGACCCCCATCATAGTGTAGCAATTTACACTATAACGGTAACTGCTTTTCGTCTAACCACTATCCAACAGACCTTTCTGGTATGGTAGGACCTCGAGGGAACAAGCGTTCCACCAGCATAGCTCGTTGGGTCATTGTGATATGCAAGCCCGTCCACCACGTCAAGGGAGGAACTATCGGTCGGGAAATCCGGTCAGCAGTCGGGGTTTGTAGCCCACTTTGTAGAGCACGGGACCAAGATCCTGGTGGTCGCTGGTTTGAGTCCCGCGGTGGTGGAAGTTTTTATTTCATCTTCAATGATCACGCAGTATCGAAGAAGCTTTTTTTACTTGTCAACATTTTCCTGGAAACTAGTGTGATAGCAACCACGTGGTTTTCTCTGACATGGATAAGATATTACCTTCAGTCTTAATACGTCAATAAGTCATACCCTTTTCGTTAGCTGCTAGAATGACGCTTCAGTACGCGAAACAAGTTGTTTGGGATTAGTTTTCCATATGCTACTTACTACATCAGCTGGGTTTGTATTAACCGACTGTGGGACGAGTTACTCGGTAGCTGTTTGTATGTCCAACCAAACATTCTTAGGGATTTCATATTTTTGCATTTCAGCCTACGCGCTAGCTCCTTGATGCTGACGGTATTCCAGATTAGGAATGACAAGTTGTCGACAATTTCTGAACGTGAATTTTATTACAACTCCGAATACGCATCAATGGAACTGGTTACCACAGTCTTTATGAAGGCGTTGTGAGTGCTTTCAAAAGAGATCTGCAATATGATAAGTAGCAGGTTCTCCATGTAGCCAAAGACAAAAGCAACTTAGAATCTAGCATAGTTGTGCACTGATCCAATGCACTGGACGTTACATTATATGGATGATAAATCGAAAGCTGAAAGGTCAAAGAAACCGAAAAGACTGGCATTTCTCCCAGACGTCTAACCTTAGACACACTACCTCACATTTCCTTTCAACTCTTTTACAACTAACTGCTGAAGGTTTGACATTCTCTCCTTCTTTCGATGTTCAACTTCCCTTGTATCTTGGCATGCTGACGTGAGGTGGTGCGGCAAAGTGAATCTTAACGCAGTAATACAAGACTCAATTTGATGTTGACTTCCTAACATTTGTAACTGCAGCAATCACAGTGAGGTAAGTAGATATGCGTAACATATTCTTCAGCCACTTTAGTCGATGAATTCACAACCTCTAACACCTACAACAACGCCGAACCTATCCTCACTATGGTTTTGCTAACCATTGACTTTAATACCCTCATTTCCTTGATCAGTCTAAGTAGTTGGTACCTATCGATGCAACATTTTTAATCTCCTTGATCCTTACTGCATAGACACTGTGTCAGTCGATATTTGAGCTGCTGTCGATCTTCACTGTGTTCGAAACTTGTAGGATTGCACTAACATGCACTGATCAATTCAGAAGCTATTCAGATTCGAACCAACTGAGTTATCTACCTTAAGTAGTACTTAATGCTTGACATTTGAATTCCTCATACGGCGGACGTATCATATGAGAATAATGCTGCAGAGACAAGTGATCAAATATTTAAAGACTTAAGAAGTGCTCGATTTTTAATGGTTACATTTAACAACACTATAGCGAAACAGAAATTCTTGTTACGCTAGAAACTTGACTGTTATCATTCGGATACTTCTTCTGCAAGTTCTAACTGTTAGCGAAGCCAATAATGATTTATTTCTGTTATGAGGTCTCACTAATACAACAGTATCAGATTGCATGACGATAATAAGTGAGTGCACTGAGACTAATACAGCTCCATAGGTATGCAGTCAATGCACTAAACAAATTCGTTACCTGATGGTAAACGAGTCATCGGTTTATATCAGTCCCAAAGTGACAAATTATTTGTCAGATGACAAACATTCTAGAGATTTGCACATCATCGTTAACATTTTTGAAAAATCGTATCGTTTAGGCATCTTCAGTTCACATTATTATGCTGGGGGTGTTGATGCCCAGCACTGTGAAACAATCTCTATTATGGTTAAAGTAAGGTAGTCAGTATATCAGAATATATGAATACTTCGAAAACCAATGTTAAAGTGATTTATTTAAGGAAGAAGTTCTGAGAAATATTCTCCTAAACGGGAAAGATAAATTAAATAATTATGAGTCTCTTTATGTGACCTTCGTATTTTCTTATATGACCACATGTTACAGAAGTCATATTTACACTCAGCACAATTTCAACTTCCTGATATTGAAAATGACTTCATATAGCTTATTATTACAAGGTATTTTATTTCTTGAATTACGTTGAATATAATCCTAGCATTTACTATATAGTCTGATTATCGCTTCATGAAAACATAATACGTAAGTCTTTTTCTTACCGATGGCAAAGTGTATATACTTGATTTATCATATGGAATTAGTCAAAGACTTACCGGCAATAATCCACACCATACTAGCAATATTTTCCTGCAGAAATAACACAAGTCAGCAAATCTTGATTTGTAGAAGAATTATAATATTCATGTTTGTTGCAAAACATATGAACACAAGATGGTCTTACAAAATCACTTGTATACAAGTTGAAAGTATCTAAAAACAAACAAGAAAACACCCACCTAACAAACCGATGTTAAGTCACCAAGTTCTTCCATATACAGGATCAGGATACGTTGCTTCCAAAACACCACTAGACTCCACTATCACGGATGACATTAACCCACTACAGTGGGTTAAAGGTAACATGATGGTCGTGGAGCCTGAAGGTTTTGGGTTCGATCCCTGACAGGGCGGGGTCATGGTAGTGCACACTGCTGAGGAGTCCCATGCTGGGATGGAACAGCTGTTCAGTTCCCCTGGGTTTCCAATGTTTCTCCAGCTGATGTCGGTCCATGATAAACGCCAACTTGAAAAATCACTAAATCCACACAAGCCTCCAAATCAAAACCACATGTCAAAGTAATCGACTAAGGTCAATTTTGCCATCCAAGCACAAAATCCAGCTCAGTCAATATTAGATCCCATTAAGAAAGAGGATTCAGAAAAAAGGCTAGTCTTAGCTGTGCATGGAATTACACACAACCATACAATAGGATGAAACAGGGAGAAATCCTTAAAACTATGCTGGTCGAGTAGAGGGAGAGATTGGCAAGCGAATCTGTTTGTCGAATCAACACCTAATATATACAACAGGAACGATTTAGCACCTGCTCCGGATATATGGAGAATTCCTTTAGTCAAATCACAAAGGAGATAACAACAAAACTAGAACTACATAAAACACGTCTTAAAGTTGTGGAGTTATTTTGATCGGACTGTAGGCAGTAAAGTGTGTTTAAAACGCAATCCAGTAAACAATACTGTTCCACTGTGCGATACATCTAATAAATCAACCAAAATAAAATTAGATGCTACCACGACGTCAGGGTTTTACGCTTATACAAGAGAGTAAAAGTAGTAATAAAAAATATTGCGGCTGTACGATTTTCTGTGAAGAAATGTACATGACTACTGAGCTTCTTACAAAAAAGAACTGAATGCTTATCTGCAAAAACTTTTGCGTAAGTCTCACTATACACCCTCTAATACCAAACAGATGCTGTGGAAAAAAAATTTGAGGGCTTCAACGGAAATTTTCTCTTTTCCAGTCCGAGACAACAACCAGAACATCATCTAGTCATCTTCGTTGACGACTTTTATGTAGACTTCCCACTAGTTAAGGAGGACCAGTTAGATATTCTACAAGCCCCTATGAAGAACGAACACTACCGCGGAATATTTGTGAGTTACAAGTTATTGAATCAAAATTTTCAGACAGAGATGATGGTCAGAGTGCAAGACAAGCTGAATTCATCTTTGAAAGCCATGATGAACAGAGTATTGCGATCAAATTTAGGACTCCAGTCCATCATGGTGGGATGGGATAGTGAAGTACACTTAAAAAATTGTCAGATTCAAGATTTCCCTATGGCTGTCAACACATCCAGATTTGCGGGACTCCTACTTAGTGAAAGGGAGATTGAGGGGAGTATGGATGAGTGTACTAAGCCCTACTTTTACACTATCCAGGACACAGTAGTTAGGCATCTCCAACCTAAGGCTTCTACAAGTTTAGTGTTACGTGTTATTCATTCCTTATGTCAACATATGATTGAAATTTACAACATTATTTCATATCTATTCTACAGCAGCCTTGTTTGAGCGTGTCGGATGGTCAACTGGAAAAGGTATGCTAACTTCCTTTCATGACTGAATCACGGACTCCATAAGCACTATTTAAACTTCCCTTCACAGGATATCTAAAATAGTGTTGAGGAACTCAGTGATCGATTGTTTCAATTTCCCTGTATACACTGAGTTCAGTGAGAATATATATATATATATATATATATATATATATATATATATATATATATATATATATATATATATATATATATATATATATATAAGCCACCATTCCATGTGGTTTATATATTCTCACTGAACTCCATGTTATTCCGACCGCGCTGATATTAGGCTTTACATGCGGAAATTAGACGTAGATACAGCAGACAGAGTGCAGATGATGTCGGAATCATCCGTAAATAAAGCGGGATAAAAGCTGTATTAAGCATACAAAGCTGTATTAAGCGTACGAGCATACAAGTTATGCCGTAGGTCCTTAACTGATGCGGTGAATCTGCAAAAACCCGTCACCATTTGGTATTTATGCACTATTCCCGGCATTGGTAAGCAATACATTGACTTCGGTTATTTCTGCACTCCTATTTGATTTGGATCTTTCTTGCTTTTTTCGACTCAAGGGAAATGTTTCCATGAGACCAAATGATCTTTCGCTTAGATTAAGTACCATGCTAACGGTTATGTCTCAGTTTTTTTCGGAAAACAAATTTTTACAACAGCTGTTGTGTCATTCGACAGACGCTCAAGGGTGATGAAAGTCTACTGTTAGCTGATAAATTTCAGATGTTTATTGATGGAATCGAAGCTTCCGCTTAACTGGCTTCCGTATATAAACTGAATCCGTATACATCCATACCTTCCTAATTTGCCTTCTGGTTTTTGTCGAATTCAAGCACAAGTTTGAACAGAGCGCTACCTAAACTGGTTGTTGAACAATGGCTTGTTTTTGGAATCTTGAGTGCGAAAGTCTGCACCATATATTAATGACGCGAGAGCAGTAAACTGAAATCTTTTGAAATCTGGCATCTTGTTCTTAGGGCTTGGTACCTGTCTTTCAGTTCACTTTTTCAGTGGGCAACGAAATATATTCTGCTCCCTTGCTTTTAGCTCACGTGAGATAAACATTTTTGTGTGCCACTAAACGTAATTTTTAGACTTAAGTAGACGAGGAGCTATGGGATGAATGCGGCTCTTCCTTGACTCCTGCCTGTACACGCGCCCGAACAAGAATAGCAAGATAGTGGGAAAAGTTATATTGGGTTTGCTTGAGAGGCGAAAGTGGATAGTATGCGTCTGGTTACTAAGACTAACTGGTAGATGATGCGTGTGTATCAACAAGGGAGGTAGTGGAGGGCCAGTGAAGTCAGTAATACCGTGTCTACGTCTGTAGTCGGTGGTACGAAATAACCTAATTCTCTAACCTTGTTCTGGAATGAGTAGGACGCCGTGAGTAAATTCTGAGGTTAGGCGTTGCATAAGGCTTATACTGTTAAGGAGAGAACTTTCAACTTAGGACTGGTGCTAGCTGTCTAAAGTGATATCCAGGTATAGCTTTGTCATGACGATCACCAGTTGCAGGTTGCGTTATCTTGCTTGCGTGTCTTGCCCGTAGTGATCTTATAGGCTCCATCAAGGTCGTCTCTCCTTCAGCGGTAGCCAAAGCGAATCAACTTGGGTGTTTTGGTCTGCTAGAGACTTCTTACAGCTATAGTCACTCAGTTGACTTAGCTGCAGATCCTTGTATTTTCGGAAAGAGATGGCAGTTCTCTCTTGAGTGTTTTGGGGTGCCACAATATTGGAGACCTCCAAGTGTGACCGTACGTAGGACTTGAAAACGGAATGAAACATTTCTGGAGTGCGAACGACAAGCTGCCAACGAGGAAAATGTAAACTGACGTCCGCTCTGGTTTCTGTTCCTTTGCAGTATAGCTGGCGTTCGTAGCTGTCCGAGAAACTGGGCCGCATACCTTTTTCCGAGAGTACTTTGGCGATATCAGCGTTACCCAACTTTTATTGGAGTTCAGCAGTTCCTACCTCGTGGTACGGATGTGCATTACCTCTCAGTTTTCTGGCTTGAAGCCCAGGCCATCTTCCGACGGCTAGTATCTGCAGGTTGTTTAGTGGTGTGGTGCAGTGGACCTCATCGTTTACTACCCTCCACATTTTTATGTCACCGCCGAGGGAATTTGCATGGACCTGGCTTAGGCAGTTTCTCCATCACCTTTTCTCTGTGGCTGAGATGTGGCAAAGGTATCCGTTGTTTATGGTCAGGTCAGTGTCATAACGAGTCAGTGTGGTGTTGGTGTCAGTACTAAGTTCGACTTGGAGGTGTGAGCTCAGAAGCTCAGCAACCTCTAGACTATTAGGCACACTCCCATCGGGACCCATGATAAGATTCAACCCCTTGCTGATTGACTTCCTTTGCAACATGAAGCCATACAGATTTTTGAGGTTGCTTCGTAACCTCCCTGCCAGGTTTGTTTGATAGGTAGATCTGCTGCTACGCACTCTTGCGTTACAGTGGTTACGAATCCTTCTGTAGTTCAGAAAGTCAGACTGCCTGCGTGATGAACAGCACTTGAACCAGGCCTGCTTCTGGCTCTGAAGTAGCCCCTGTTCCATGCTCTGGCCATAAGGTTCTTACCGTCTGTCGGTGTACTGCCTCTGTCACAATGGAACTGATAGCCGCAAGTGGTGTTTCTTTCACCTCTGTCTAGTGTTCATCCATCGTGGGAAACGTCTTGTCTACAGGCCATGGTGCATTCACCGGGCTCTACAATGTCGGCCCCGGGGTTTCTAGCTAAAGCTTTGAGAAATTTAACTTACACTTTGACAGCGTACCAAGCAAGGAGGCATAGGCAGTGGCACAGCGTGTCTGTCTGAAGCATTTTTTGGGGCAAGTCGGGCGGGTAAACTTGAATAAGTACACTAAAAATTGTCAACGATTCAACAGAAGTCCGTGGTGAATAAAAAGCTTGCGAAGAACAGAAACTCATTTGAGAGTTCCGCTGGACACTACGCATTGATGAAATAATCTCTCTTGGCCCCGCATTTGGCCTCGCCACAGTAGAGGAGGGTGTTTGGTACCTGTAGTTTCACGGCCTTTTTAGTTCGTGATAATTTTATTACTACTCATTATTCTTCCGGAAGGTTCCCAGCGGACACAGGTCTTCAGTAGCACGTCCCAGTTTCATTCTCTTTTCTCCAATCTTTTCAGCCTGGCTCCACGACAGACCAGAAGCTCTCAATTCTTCCTCACACGATCTCCTTCATGTCACCCTCGCCTCCGACGCCCAACTCGTCCTTTCCCATCTGAGCTACACTCCGGCAACTGGCCTGGCGCGTGATGTACCCAAATGGTCTCCTCAGCGTATGCCGAATCCATCTCCGCTTCCCTCTTCTGCAGATTTCTTGAGCGGCAGGTTCTTGGTTGATTCGTTGCCAGCTAGAGTTCCTTGTTTCTTATTCTTATCGTTCTGGCCATCTGATCTTCAGTAGCGAGCCAGCGTAGGCAGTTATTGATGAATGTCTGTAGTTTGTTGGAAGTGTCTTTCGGAACGCGCCAAGTCTGTGAACCATCAGTTAGAAGCACTGACTTGACGTTGGTGTTGGAAATCTGGATCTTGTTCGTTACGCTAAGTGCAGGAGACTTCCATGCCGGTTTCGGGTTAATGAACGCCTGTCTTGCTTCTGCCATCCTGGTTTTGATATCCTCGTCCGTGCCGCCGACGCCGCCTGTAGTTGAGACAGTGCTGCCTAGATAGGTGAAAGAGACCACTTCCCTTGAGTTTCTCTCGTTCATGGTGATTGGAGCTCATTGTTGTTGGTGGTGGTGGCGTTGGTTGAACATCATCATCATCATCTCTGTCTTCTCTACGTTCACTTGAAGCCCCGTCTTCGCTGCCCTGCCTCCTCCGTTAGTTTTGCCTGTAGATCTTCAAGTTTGTGTGACATTGGGCACAAGTCATCACTGAAATCCAAATCTTCTAGGATCTTTTCCTCTGTCCAGCGTATCCCCTTTTCTCACTCCTCACAGTTTGTTGCGTAATCCAGTCCACCACAATCAAGAATATTATGGGTGATAGTAGACAGCCTTGTTTTACTCCTGTCTTCACTTCAAAGGCATCACTGAGCTTCCCATTGTGAATTACTTGGCATCTGGCGTCTTCATATAGTTGTCGAATGAGGCCGATAGAAGTTTTTGGTATTCAGTAGTGTCGGATCAGTGGCCAAATTACTTGTCGGTCGATGCTGTCAAAGGTGCTTTCAAAGTCGATGAAGTTGGGTTAGAGGGCAGACTGGCGTTCTATATCCTGTTCTATGATGTTGCGAAGCGTTGCAGTTTGGTCCGCACATGATTTGTACTTCCTGCAGGCAGTCTGTTGGGGTCGTAGTTTGGGATCCAGCGAATCCTTCAGTCTCTCCAGGATGATTCAGCTCAATAGTTTGTTTGCTTTGAGCAGACAAGAGCGTGATTCCGCGCCAGTTCTTGCAAACGCTTAGGTCGCCCGTCTTTGGGAGTTTGACAAGGTAGCCCTTCTTCCAATCTCCAGGTACCTTCCCTTCCTTCCAGACTGTCTGCAATAGTGGTGTGGGTATGTCCGCTCTTGTCATCGGGTCTGTTCTTAGTGCTTCTGGGGGGATTCTATCTGGTCCTGCTGCTTTCCCACATTTCAGTAGCTTTATGGCGTGCAGGACTTCGACTTTCGTCGGGGGGCTTGTGTTCAAGCTAGTGACTGTAATAATGATAATTCATTTTGAATAATGAGTAACGCCAACATATGTCGTTTTTACAGACAATATCTGGATGTTATTATTCTGAGTGACACTGGGAAAATTTAAAAAGAATAAAACGTTGCGTCATGCAGTCTGCCAGAGAATGCAGTTTTTGGATGTTGCCGGTCACAAATCTAGGGTAACAACCCTTTCACCACACAACGGAAGTGAATGGTAACACAAACATTGTCACTCAGCATAAACGGTAACCTGGTAGTAGTGATTAGGCCTCAGCACTCCGGCTAATTAATCACATAGGTAGTGACAGTACAGAGCATATCAGATGCCGTGCATGAACAAAGCTGAAAGTGTTCCAGCATTCAGTAAGCTTGTACCGTTTACAGAAAGCATTTGAAATCAGATTCAAGTTCCAGAACGGACAGTGTAAAGTACGGGCCAGTATTATATTGTGTCATGCAGCATGTAGTGACAGCTTATGTCTACGTTTTTAGAAACGTTACTTACTGAATTAAGCGAAAGATACAACTCAATGCGGAAAATGTCATGTCGCAACCCAAGATATGCAAGATTTCATCATTAAACTATTCAGTGTGCCTTCAAGGCCGGCACTTCATGTGAGGCCAGTTTTGGTTTGCTTCATTACGAGGTGCGTGATTATCATGAACCGTGGAGCCTGAATGTTTGGGTACAAACAGTATTTAATACCAGCACTTCTAGATACAATTTCAGTTTGAACTTTACGTTTAAGGTGGGATGCCAAAATAATCGTTATGCAACAGTTACATCGTGAAGCTCTCTGTCGGAAAGAAAAAGAGAGCTGGACAAGAAACAACTAATTGTGTACCTAAGTCAATGAGTAACAGAATATGAATAAGAAGATCAAAGCAAAGGGACTCGGGCGCAGATTTGAGAGTTGCTGCACAAAAAGTTTCTGTCTTATCTGCACTGAACTATGATCCAATAGTAGCCAGTGACTTTTAACTGTGCAGTTATAATTTGAAGTAGGGGACCAGTTCAGAGAATTGCGGAGTAGCGGCATCTAGGTGACGAACAGCATTTTTTATCAGATGGTTGTCAAACACGGCAGCTAACCTCCTCTCAAGTCCTAGGAAGCTGTCTTGTGTGCCTTGAATATAATATATTTCGAATAATGCATTACACGGGCTTATGCCGCTTTGCAGGCGATAT